GCATCGGAGTGCCGTAGCGCACCAGCAGGAGCCCAGCAGGGCAAGGGTCTGAACCAGCAGCAGCAACGACAGCAGGGCAGAGATCAGGGCCAGCAGAACAGGCTTGAGGCACCGCCAGCAGTTCAGAGGACTGAGGGTCAGATCCGAGCAGTTTAGGAGGTTCCTCAGGGGCAGATTATCCCATATTCTCCATCTCCATCTGCAGTGCAGTCTTCAGCCACAGGCAGGGTTTATGCAGTAGTTCCCCGTGATCATGGAGCTAGCGGAGCCGTAGTAGAGGGTACGTTCTTTGTGAACTCCATTCCCGCCCGCATTCTTTTCGATTCGGGAGCCTCGCATTCTTTCATATCGCATGCATTTATGGCTAGACTCCAGTTCGTAGCTCAGCCTCTAGACACCCCTCTATCTGTTTCCACCCCTTTAGGTGAGGTATCACTTCTGGAGAGCGTTTGTAGGAGGTGTACCGTCAGTTTAGACGAGTCAGAGTTCATAGTCGATCTGATAGTTTTGCATATGTCCGAGTTTGATGTCATCCTTGGTATGGATTGGTTGTCTTCCTACCATATTAGTATTGACTGCTTTACGAAGACAGTCAAGTTGCGAGCATCCGACGGGTCCGAGATGATTGTAGCCACCTCTCAGGGCAACCGATTTGCGGAGTCATTTCTGGCGTACATCAAGGAGGTGATGCAACGGGATCAGGGTGCTGAGTTATTAGAGACTAGAGTTGTTTCGGAGTATCAGGATGTCTTTCAGGACATACCTGGATTACCTCCAGTGAGAGAGGTAGAGTTATGTATTGAGTTGTAGCCAGGCACAGCCCCGATATTCCGCGCACCCTATTGCATGGCACCAGCTGAGATGCGGGAGCTTCAGACCCAGTTGGACGAGTTGCTAGCTCAGGGTTTTATTCGCCGGAGTCATTCTCCATGGGGCGCACCGGTCCTCTTCGTGAAGAAGAAGGACGGTAGTATGAGATTATGCATAGATTATAGATAGTTGAACAAGGTCACTATCCGGAATAGGTACCCACTACCTAGGATTGATGACTTGTTTGACTAGCTACAGGGAGCGCAGTATTTCTCGAAGATTGATCTTCATTCTGGCTATCATCAGCTGCGGGTTCGGGAGATGGATATTCCCAAGACCGCTTTTCTTACTCGATATGGGTCCTTCGAGTTCTTGGTCATGCTATTTGGGTTGACCAATGCACCTGCGATATTCATGGATTTGATGAACTGGGTTTTCCGTCCCTTCTTAGATCAGTTCGTGATCGTTTTCATCGATGATATTCTCATTTACTCGCGATCGGAGGCGGATCACGAGGAGCATCTACGGATAGCATTGAGGACTCTTCAGGAGCATCAGTTGTATGCCAAGTTCAGCAAATGCGAATTTTGGCTTTCAGAAGTCAGATTCCTTGGCCACATCATCAGTAGAGAGGGCATAGCAGTGGACCCGGCTAAGGTCACGACAGTTCTTGATTGGGAGCCACCGAAGACGGTGACAGAGATTCAAGTTCATTCAGGACTTCTCGAAGATTGCGACGCCTATTACACACCTTACGAAGAAGGGTGTACAGTTCATATGGAGCATGGAGTGCCAGAAGGCCTTTGATATTCTGAAGACTAAGTTGACTACAGCGCCGGTTTTGACTATTCCGAGCAGTTGTTTTCGAAAAAAGTTGCCTTCATCATTGATTTCATTAAAACTTCAAACGTTACAAATGAAATTCAAATAACGAAAATAAAAATTACAACTTTTTGAAAATAAACGCAAGATCCGTTCGTCGTCTCTTGCTTGCGTGGGTCTTTGGCCTGTGACGGGGACGTTGATATCCGTGGACTACCTGGCAATCAGATCTGGTCCGGATCAATCGGACAGAGCTTCGTCGATCCGCGAGGGGATCTAGAAGAACTGGTCCGGAAAAATCGGACAGAGCTTCGTCGATCCGCAATGGGGGCACCTAGGGTGCCTAGACACCCCTGGGTGCCTAGACACCCCTGGGGTGTCTCAGAAAATCCGAGACACCCCTAGGGTGTCTCGGAAATTCCGAGACACCCCTGGGGTGTCTCGGAAATTTCCGAGACATCCCTAGGGTGTCTCTGAAATTTCCGAGACACCTTGGGGTGTCTCGGAATTTCCGAGACACCCCTGGGGTGTCTCGGAATTTCTGAGACACCCCTGGGGGTGTTTTGGAATTCCTGAGACGTCCGTTGAGGTGCATTCGATTGTTTTCGCCGTAAATTCTTCGTCCGAACTCGGATTTGAGTGATTCCAAGTGCGTTGGAAGCTTGACGAAGAGTTCGATCCGCTCTAATGGTAGGATTATCTGTAGAATGAACGAGACTCGAAGGGCGTTGTTCTTTTCGTAACATCGCGGGGCTCTCGATTAGCCCGTGCCTTCGTTATCCCGAAATTCTGTCAGCTCATGTAGTTCGTCGATTCACTTCAATCATTCATCGACGTCAATCGAACTCCTGTGGCTCGGATAGTGACGTTCATCATTGCTCTTTAACACTGAGCTGTTCGTGGAGACCTATAGGCAATTTTCGATGCCTACAGATACCCCCTCCAAAGCGTTCCGGCCTCGTTTCTTTTATAGAAGAGGCTGGAACACATTGGATGTGATTGATCCAGCCTTTAGTCGGTGTAAAGGACCTACAGTTAGCTTCAACTCTTGACTCCTTCGATTTTCGGTCTATCCAATGCTTTGACGAATAACCGAAGTTCTTCCGGCGCTGCGTTTAGCGCTTGGCCGTCGTTGGAGTCTCGAGTCTACAGCTGATGAATTGAGTTTGGCTCGTGTCATTGAGTTGACTTTGAACTACTTCCGTCATATTATGTTGACTTAGGGTTTCGGATCACAGAATGTTGACTTTTTGTCGTAACGCGTTGACTGGCGTTGACCTAGGGTTACGCGTTGACCGGCATTGACCCTAGGGTTTCCAATCGTCGAATGTTGACTTTTGGTCACAACGCATTGACTGGCATTGACCTAGGGTTACGCGTTGACCGGCGTTGACCCTAGGGTTTTGAATCGTCAAACGTTGACTTTGGTCGCAACGCGTTGACTGGCGTTGACCTGGGGTTACGCGTTGACCGGCGTTGACCCTAGGGTTTCGAATCACAGTATGTTGACTTTTTGTCACAACGCGTTGACCTGGGGTTACGCGTTGACCGGCGTTGACCCTAGGGTTTTGAATCGTTGAACGTTGACTTTTGGTCGCAACGCGTTGACTGGCGTTGACCTGGGGTTACGCGTTGACCGGCGTTGACCCTAGGGTTTCGAATCGTCGAACATTGACTTTGGTCGCAACGTGTTGACTGGCGTTGACCTGGGGTTACGCGTTGACCGGCGTTGACCCTAGGGTTTTGAATCATCGAACGTTGACTTTTGGTCGCAACGCTTTGACTGGCGTTGACCTGGGGTTACGCGTTGACCGGCGTTGACCCTAGGGTTTCGAATCAACCTGAGGAGAACCAGTTTATACTCGTGTACTCCTGGGAGTTTCGGGAATTAGTTTAGCCTCGTGTACCCGTCGGAGGTTGACGGGTTATCCTTAAGAATATTATACATAATATTTTCCAGGAACTTCCCGTCAATTGTGAGAAATAGTTTAGACTCGTATTCTCATTGGAGTATAGATACGAGTGTTGAATACGTCGTAAAAAAAAACATCTCATACGCGTGTGAACCATGAAAAAAAAGATTCAATCCGGTTCGGTTCATGCTTGTTTGAGTTGGTTCGGGTCATGTGGGCTTGGTTCATATGGGTTCGGTCCAACCCAAGATCCCCAATATAAAAGCTAAACTTCCTTCTCCTCTCCCGTTCGATTCCAGCAAACAAAATCCGCACCCCCCTCATTTTTTTTTTCGGTTTTGAAAGCAGAGAACTCCCCCCTTCAACTTCGGTTTTGTGCTCTCCTTCTCCAAGGACTTCATCCTCTTCTTCTTCAAGCCTTCTAAACTCTTCAAAGCTTCAACTTTCCCTCTTTCCAAGCTCTCATCCTCTCCAAAGCTTCAAGCAAGGAAAGTTGGGTTTGGAGGATCTTCATTAACAACAAAGTCTCCTCTTCAAGGATTCTCCAAGCTTTGGTAAGATCTTCTTTCCTTCATGCTTTAGATTGATTCATTTCTCTTGAATCCTCCAAATTTCAAAACCCTAATTTTTTGATTTAGGGAAAAATCAAATCTTGATTTTTGATTCTTGAAAGTTGGCCGAAAATTAGGATATGTATTCCCTTACTTTTGATTTCAATACTTTCTTAATTCCATGCACATGTATGGCCGAAACTTGAGGGGGCTTTTGTGCAAATTTTGAGGCCGAAACTTGAGGGGGGTTATATGTAAAAGAGGGCTACAATTTAAGGGGGTTATGTGCAAATTTTCGGCTGAAATTTTGGAGGGCTTTTGTGCAAATATATGGCTAAAATTTTGGGGGGTGGACTTTAGACCCGCTTGGTCACAACTTTGAGGGGTGCTTCATGCAAAGAGTCAATGTTTGTTTGAGGGGTTTATTTGCAAAAAGCAACCCACAAAGTGTAGAGGGGTTTATTTGCAAAAGGGCTGAAATTTAGGGCTGAAATTCCAAAAGTTTAGACCACAACCCAATAACCAAAGTTTTGATAAAGGCATGTGGACGTTAATTTGAAATTTGTGAAGGGGTCTATATGCAAAATTGGCTAAATTCTACAAAAGGGCTTATTTGTAAAATTAACCAAAATTGTGGGGTATCGAGGGTGCTATATGATCAGATATGATGACCATGACCCAAATCGAGCGTGTCCTTGACCTGAATTTAGCCTTGAACACGAGGGGTATTTTGGGTATTTCACCAAAATTTACCGCAAAATGACAATCATTGTTTTGTATGCACGAAATTTGTAGGTTTAATTAGACTTCAACTATAAAATCCTATTTATTCATAGGATTTAAGCTCAAGTTCTTAATTTTCCTTTTTAAATTTCGTGTATTCATATTTTAGATTGTACCTGACTTGCTGCTTTTCATTGCAGATTTTCGATGTCTCCCCGTCGACCTCGACCTCGTTCTCATTCGCAGCACAGCGAGGAAGTGGTTCACATGGCATCTTTTCCAGCAGCCTCTTTCTTTGGGGGTGAGAATTCACATTTTCTGTATCCCTGATTGACCTCTTCGCGGGTCATGAAGGAAGAACCGACACCCTCCTCCGCGGGGGTTAAGGTTTCGGACTTGTTTTGCTTAGCCAATTCAAGTCTTCGGATATATTGGGGCGATTTTGTGTCGTCCTACACCTTATAGGTCGGTGTATGTTACCACATTATTTATGTGATGATGCATACCGTTCTTCCAGTGTAGGACACTCAAAATCGTCTCTCCAATTATCCCGTGACTGATCTTATCTCGCTTCTTATGAGATAGATTTTCTAACCCTATCCTTGTGTTTTATTGCAGTGGAGTTTTCCGCGGGCAGCCTTCCCCCTCATGCCAATACTGGTTGTAGCCGGGAGGTCTTCTCTTCAACTTCCATCAGGCAGGCCGTTAGTCCACTCCCTCAGTTTGACAGAGATCGTTCCGACGAATCCTGTCGTTTGATACGGGAAGGAGGGTGTCATTGCTTACGCCAGCTTATTACGGATGCCTCCTTTACTGTGGATTCTACCTCTACTCAGGCTTTAAAGAAGCCCAGTTTCCTGTTCGGGGATCACATTGAGGATCCTGCTACGTTGACTCTTTCCGAGGAGCACTGGCTGACTCTTGATGAAGGAGCTCTCTTGTACATTCCCTCCATTCCTCGTCAATATTCTTTCACTGATTTGAAGGGACAGGCTGTGAGGCGACAGATGTCCTGGCACCTTACTAAGGATGCTGAGCGAGTTCAGCGTGAATATGCCTCTCATAACAAGACTCCTGGTTCTAGCGGGTATCATCATATTCGTGGTCTTCGACCAGGGATCATGGGCCTTGACACCGCACCCCCAGGCGAGGTGTCAGCAGCTGCTCCTACTGTGAGTAATCATCTGGCTCTTCTGGGGAGGAGATTACCTCCACCAGAGCCTAGATGCTATGGTTGGGCTTCCTCACTAGCCAAGGGATGGTGGGCACGCATGACCAGTTTCGTCTTGGTGCGCTGGGAGAGGGATTTGAAGAGCAGTGGATTGTATGCACCTATACGAGCCACCATGTACGGACTCCCGGTCAGCTGTCGCCATTTCATGGCGTTGTTGGAGACATACATGCCTGACAGTAACACGTTCCTGACCAGCGGCGGAGAGTTAGGGTTGGCCCTGCATGAGATGCATCAGGTTTCTGGTCTTCCGATGGGGGATTGTCCGTATCAGGAGTATTTCCCTTCGAACCAGCAGTTGGAGTGGTTGAAGAAGGATAATCCCGATATGTATGACACTCTTTGGGACCTCACTTGTCACTATTATACCTCCTTGATCCAGAATTTTGCTCAAGCGAAGAGGAAGAAGCAGATCAGCTTAAAGCAGTTTGCGGGCTATTTGTTCCAGAATTTGGAGGGTGATTCCAGCGAGCCCATTCGTGAGTTAGATGTGTTGACCCCTCCCGCCATTAATGAGTTGGTGGAAAAGACTGAGGCTCGTTCTTACACCATTGCCAGTGCCGAGGGAGCTTTTCCTACAGGAACCAAGTTTCGTTCGTTTCTCCGCCGTGCACAGAAGTCCATTGGGCCCCGGACTCTACTAGCAGGCTACATTGCTCTCTGGTTGAAGAAATGTGTTGTTCCATACCAGCCTTCAGACGCTTTACCTATCGAGGTGCTCTTCCCCGCAGTTCAGCTAGCTTACGGGAGAGAGCTTTCCCTGCTCCCAGCGATGGTTGCTGGCATCCATTGCGGGCTTAGGTGTCTAGTCAGTAGTTTTACACAGGGGGGTTCTGAACCATCGACCGAGCTTATTTGTCCGAAGGTCGAGCTTCCTTATGCATATCTGATGGCGTGGCTTGTCCTTCACCGTCCTGACTTGATGTCGGCGCCCAGCGTTGTTGATGAGGCGTAAGCCGTTGATCACTTTCCTCAGTTGCAAGTGGTTTCTTTCCGCCCATGAATCCATAGGTGTGAGGAGTCTTTCAGAGTTACAGTCCGAGCACTCGGTCCAGGTAGCTATGATGGCTGCTCGCAGGGCTGAGCCTGCTCAGAAGCAGAGGAAGGGGCATGCCAAATCTCCTCTCAAAGATAATGAAGAAATCCTTCCTACGGGTGATGACGACGAGACTTCTGAGGAGGAATATGTGGATATAGATACCGACAGAGAAGAACTTGATACAGGTTTGTCATGCTCTTTGATTTTCCTTCTCCACTCTAATTGGTATAAACGACAGATCTTGTTCGTTTAATGAAATGACCATTGTCACTTTAGGTAGGACAGTTGACGATCATGAGTCGCCAGCTTCTCGTTATACGAGCCCAGGGCCCGACGATCGAGCTCCCACGCATGTTGAGACGCGTGACAAGTTCATGCATGACCGACCTGTTGGTTCTAGGAGGGCTGGCGCCCCGAAAAAGAAGAAGATCGCTCATAAACCACACGGCGGTCAGCGTCCTTATGGAGTGGATCTAGGAAACATCGCCGATGAAGAGGAAGGTAATATTTATTTTTATTGCTTTAAGGTGATTTACCTTTTGGGATTCGTAACCATGTTTTATGTTCTAGGGTTCTTTGAAGAGGGTGAACTTCCACCGGATCCGGTATCTCCTGGATCTGATAACATGGGTTGCTTCATGCGGCAGATGTGCGACGCCCTTCATGACAGTTCTCTGGGTATCGATCTGAACATTGATCTTGAGCAGGTGAATAGTGTTGAGCCCACCGTCCCATATTCAGGTATATCTACATCCAGTGATACCCTCCTCAAGCATGGGGAAAGAGAATCTTCTGTTTTTTGCTGCAGGTATTTCTGAGCTTTCCTTTCTTCCTCGTCTTCCAACACTTAGGTTATCCTGCAGATGTCGTGATGGAAAAGCCAGCTGAGGATGGAGCCTTTCATGATGTAGGTTTCGAGGAATGGGGGTGTGCTCCTGTACCAGGTTTCTCGGGACCCGATGCTGGATTATTAGCCGATATGCTGGCTGAGCAGGCCATCAGAAGAACCGTGAGACCACCCTTTGAGGGTGATTCATTCACGGGTATGTATCTGATCCCTTTCATTTATCTGATTTTTTTCTTAACTAATAGAGGGGTATAATCATAGGACCAGCCACTGGATTGATACCTTTATGACTTCTGGCATCCCTCTTGCATCTGAGGACGGTGGACTTGCAGGTATGCATACGATCTTATCATCCCGATTTTCCTTATTTGTCCAAATTTTCATTTTGACTAATAAAGACATGTAACTCTAGGACCGGCCGTTGTGCCTAATGTCACTACGGTTTCTGGGACTGATAGTTTGCCCGAGAGCGGTGTCTCCCCGCCACAGCCGAGAGGTATGACCGATTTGCCTACAGGGGTTGATATACCCTCCACGACTGCTCCTGCCTTTATCTCGGAGCCTGTCAGATCTCAGCCCGAGGGGACCTCCGTTGGCATTGGTATGCTCGGAGCTTTGTCTTTAAACTTTCTTATCGTATTCGATAATCACTTAGCTTTCCGTACTGCTATTTGTAGGATCTCGATCATCTTTATATGAGCGTGTCCGTGCTCTCTTGGCTGATACCGATCCCGATACGGACATTTTTCATACAGACCTCGGCCTTTTACCGTCTTTTATAACGGTATGATCGAGAAGCTTCTTCATCGAGGATATGGTTTCGATCAGTTCAAGCGTTCCTTTTCTCGCTACATGCCGATGTTTAGAGAAGAAGGGCATCCGGAGTTGGCTGATTTCTTCATTGCCGATTTTGCTGCTCTGGAGTCGGAGATCCGAGAGTTGAAGGAGTTGAAGGCTAATGGAGCTTCATCCTTCGTGTCCTCTGCTCTGGAGTCGGAGATCCGAGAGTTGAAGGAGTTGAAGGCTAATGGAGCTTCATCCTTCGTGTCCTCTCGGATGGAGCATAGGCTGGCACAGTGGCGCGACCTGAGATCTTCCATCGGCAGTGAGCTCCAGTCACATGAGCATTCAGTCGCGCAGCTGATGGCTACCGTGGCGAGGAGGGATACAGATAGGGCCGAGCTACTCCGCTCTTTGGATTCCGGCCGCGAGGAAGTGGCTAGGTTGAAGGAGGCCTTGAAGCACGCCGAGGAGTCCATTACTATCATTGCAGAAGACCTGGCTGGAGTAGAGCATTCTCGTGGACAGGCCCTCGAGAAGCTAGGATCTACACAGGAGAGATTGATGAGGTTGAAGAATGAAGCCGTGAAGATCTTGAGCAGTTCTGAGGAATCCGTCCGAGCTGGCCTGCAGGCAGAGCTTGAACAGAGTTATAAAGATAGGCTTTCTAGTTTAGAGTCTCATGTTCTTAGCCGTCAGCTGCCTTCGGGCTAACGAGCTTTTTATTGTATTCCTTGACTTGATCTATTAATAGAGACTTTGCGTTTGATTCCCTTATGACTTTTCTTTATTTACTTTGAATTCGGCGATGATAATATTTACAGGATTTTTGGCAAACCCCCAGCCATCAACGGGTTTGATATGTCTTTACCGATTACCGTTTGAATCGGACTAGCATGTGAATTATTAAAACCCGTCTCACATGTAACGTTGCGCTAAAAAAATCGCTTTTCTTAGACTTGATGCTATGATTTTGAATACATAGGCTTAACCATTTCTTATAGGGAAAAGGTACCCCACGCCGCGTATTAGACGACGACTTATCCCTTCTTAGGCTTCGGGATAAAATTCCCCAGGCTTAGACCCTGGTGTCTTTTTCAATCGGCGAAAGACTAAACCGGCAATGTGTGTTAGACATAGACTTTGGGATTTTTGGCAAACCCCCAGCCTTCAACGGGTTTGATGTGCCTTTACCGATCACCGTTTGAATCGGGCTAGCATGCAGATTGTCTAAATCCGTTCCGCATGTAACGTTGTGCTAAGAGAGT